TTTCCCTAGAAACTAAGGATTTCTCCTGACAGATGGTACATATTAGAATCTGGAAGGCATGACAGACTGAATGATTCTCCCCCAGATCTCTGGCCAGTGCAGCAGTCACTGGCTAGGTCTATAATAGACCTGGAAGGTCAGTTTAAGGAACGTTGACTCCAGCTACATAAATAACATAGCTGGAGTCGATGAACCTTAAGCCGAGTTTGGTGCCATCTCAACAGCATGAGGTTGAAGGAAGCATTACTCCTCATAAATTGAGGAGTATTTGCACTGACTGGGGGCACCCTCAATGTTCGATTTAGCACGTCCTTACTATACTTGTTCAAATGAATGCTATGAGATTGATCTCCAGTCTGGTTAGTATAGATGTGGCCTTGAAGTAGTTTTTAGGTCCTAGCTGATTTTGGCCCTCCACTTGTCCAGTATTGGGAGAGCAGTAAGGTGGTTTAGAGCCCTCTTTCTCTTTCTTGGTCCTTTCATTTGCGACTATAAACTCAGTGCAATGGAATATCTGGCTCACCGGGAATAAAAGCGTAAAAATCTTTGGGTTAGATGAGCATATCTTAAATCTCATTCTCTCTTGTGTTTTTTAATGGTTCAGTTTATAGTCTATAGCTAAAAGCCATCTCTCTCTTGGCACTGCACTTGAAAGAACTCACAAAAATGTAAGCTGCATATATACTAGGGATGTTAGATATCAGGTAATTGAACAGTCATATAACCGCATGAAATCTTTGTGGACACATGACTATTTGATAGTCTCCGGGGGCAGGACCAGTCGCCAGTGCACTCCCTGGGGCACACTGTATTAGGGATATAAACGACTAATTGATTATCTGATAGGCAAAAGCTTATTGGATAGTCAACTAGTCACTTCTACCTCCCCTTCTGCCTCTATCACAAAGGTGAGGGGGAGAGGAAAAGGTGCTGGGGGGACCTAACTTAAAAGCTGGTTCCCCCCAGCTCCAGCTCTGTGGGATGGGGCAGGGGTGCAGAAGTGGCGCTTCCTCTTTGAAATGTACAAGAGCCCAGGCTTATTGGTTAAACATACAGTCAACTACTCGTTGACATCCCTAATATACACTGAACAATAAGGCTCTATTTTTTAAAAGGTCTGTGACGGGGCAGATGGCCTTTGTGTCAGACCTTGTAAGAATAAGGCAGGGTGGTGGGCAGTAGGAAGCGATCCAAAGAGGCAGCCATTAGGTACTTCTGGGTCTCAATATCATTGCCTCTTACAAGACCCTGGCCTGGGTTCCACTATCAACCACCCTTGTTATGAAGAGCACACAACTCCCACTTACAGACTTCCCTTTGGGGAAGCAAGGGAAGGATGAAAACTCTGAAAAATCCAGGGTTGGAACTGGAGCCTGTAGGGATCAACAGATTGATTGTAGGTCCCCCCAGCAGTAAGGGCCTGGAACCCAATATCGTCTCTGGGACTCTGTAACCCCAGAAGAAGAAAAGCTTACGTGGTGATATGACACAAAGTGAAGTCCATACATATCAAAAGGCAGATCACCAAGAGACATGACAGTGGCGAGAGATACTGAGGGTAGGACACATAGAAACCTAATGCCTAAATACTAAGTGCCGCTGCGAGTGAATGCTGCTAAAAAACTTACGTTTTTTTTAAATGATCATTTTAAATCATGACTCTATGATTCCAAGAGCTAGGGTTTTAGGACAAACTATAAATATTGTAAGTCATGATGAAATCCTGAGAGTTGGCAACACTATAAAGCATAGTAGCCATTGATACAGGCTATACCCAAAACTTAAAAATCAGAGTTATTCATAGTATCCATCTTTTTAACATTCTTTGTATGAGGAGATAAAACAAAACCAATCTAATCCAAAGAAGGAAGAAAAATTCCTACTGTAAAGCATGCAATCTAACGTTAACCAACACTTTCAAAAAAGATATGCCAGTCATTTCCAGGGATGCTGTCAACTCATATTTAGCCTGAAATATGGACTGTATAAGTTCCACGGGTCTGTAAAACAACACTAATGTAAATGCATGGGATGTTTGTTAACATTCTAAACATTCCCCTTTGATAGCTACAAACAAAACTTTACAGAATTCAGAATCCAAAAGTGAAACAGACATCAATGATTTTCATTGTCAGTTCAAATGCTGTGCACTGTCTGCTGTCAGAAATAAGCCTAGCAGCATTTTGCACCAGCTGATATCTGCTAATTGTATGAAAATTCACACTAGTTCAAATGTCATTAAAATAATCTAAACTGAATGAGCCTCCTGCATCAGCAAAATCAGTGTGAACAGAAACTTAAATAAACCAAAATTGGGGAAGGGAAGACTTATCTCAGCACACAAATACAAGTCTTAAAACAGGCTACATGTCACAGGATTCACAGATTTTAACTGTAGTTATTGAAAATTAGGGGGTGAATCAGCTTTTTAGTTTTGCCTGTTAAGGGCCTTCTTCTGTTTACAAAAGATAAACCATCTCAAGCAGTTGAAATAGGAAATGTAACATGGAGCTAAATTTTGAGAGACAACCTGCAAACACTTAGCCCGGTGTTTCTCAAAGTGGTCCACAAAACCACTTTGGGGGGAGTGATAGCTCAGTGGAACTAAGCATTAGATCCCTGACCCAACAAAGCACTTGCTTAACTAATCCCCCTATCCGTTGGACTATTCATGTGCTTGAAGTTAGGAACCTTGAAGTTAGTACCTTGAAGAACTGAGGCTTGTAGCTCTTAAAAAATCTGACATTAGTAACAGAAAATCAGTCACACAAGTCTTTAATATCATGTTAGCAACTTTCACACAAAATTCCACTACTCTTTCTTCATATACTTTGCCTGCAGCATCCTGTATTCCCTAAATACTGCCAAGTAGCTAGTAGGGATGTGAAAGTGTACCCATGTATGTACACGGTTAATCCTCAGGAGTTACGCACAGCCCCCTTTCATCCCTGCCACCTCTGATACAGAGGCAGCAGGGAGGAATGTGGCAGGGGGGGGGCCACCTCCCCCTCTCCCCCATGCTGCTGCCTCTCACAGAAGGGCAGGATCTGGTACGTGTGGGGAACGGGCTTAAAGCTGACTCCCCATGCATGCTACCTCCTGCAGAGCTGCCTGCATGCCCTTCCCACCCCCTCAGAGGCAACGGGATGGGAGGCAGGTGGGAGCTGATGCTTGTGGGGGAACAGCTTAAAAGCCATCCCGCTACAAGCACCAGCTCCTGCCTGCCTTCTCAGGTGTAAATGTGCACCACTGAAAAATTCAGCAGTCTCATTTTTACAAAAATACATGCATTTTAACATCCCTACTAGCTAACAAAAGTATACCACCAACTAGAAGGTGCTTGATATAATCTACATATTATTAAAAATTTTCATAACACAAGACTCTCTGAAAAACTTCAGAAATGATAACTGCTGTCTTTTAAAATGCTAGATAACCTCTGTTCATAAAATATTCACACAGAAGTATGAATTTCTAATATTTCATTTTACAAGATTTGACCTTTCAACTTCTTTTTCAGTCTGCAGCAGAGAATCAGCATGTTAAACTAATGGTATAAATACCCTAGTAAATGTTAAAATTAAAATGTTAAATGTACAGTTTTCCCCTCCAAAAGTTGGTCCTGTGGTAATATGTGATATTAAAGCCTCTGCTCTGAGACTGAAATCAATGAATATCATTAATATGTGAATGTTCAGAATTTAAATATTCAAACTGAAGAGAGTATATTTGCTCCAATCACAAGAGTGTCCTCTGTATCTACAAAACTGACATAAGGCCCTGAGATGCAGTCAACCAGGCTAGCTCATGTGATGTCAAGAGACATATGCCTGTTTGCACTAGCTGAGGATGTAGCCCAAATTCAGAGGTGACATATAAAGTCTAATTTAGAATTACGTGCTGAAATGTAAGCAAGGTCAAGGGCCCTGAGTCAAAGCCCAGTGAAGTCAATGGCAAAAGTCAATGAATCAGATTGTATGCAAGGAGCTGGATGAAAGGAAAAGATGGGTGGGGGCTACTTCACCATGCACTTGCTACACTACTCCATTCTTGCCTTTTGGCTCATGAGGTAGATCAGCTTAATTCAGATGTGATGGCACAAGAAGGAAAAAGTGTAAGTTCCAAGACAGTAAGTGGGTCTGAGTCTCACAGTTGGCATCTAAATTGGCGAAATACATTTTGGAGGTCATTAAATCAATTCTGATTCCCTCTTAGGGCAGGTCTATGCTGGCAGAGAAAATCAAGGCAAAATATGCAACTCTAGCTATGTGAATTGCATAGCTGGAGTTGACCTACCATGAATCAATATTCTGGGGCAGCTCTACAGCAGATGGTCAATGGGAGAAATTCTCCCATCAACTACCCTTACTCCTCAATGTTGTAAGGAGTATCACTGTTGCTAGAGGTGCCATCAGTGTTCAATTTAGCAGGTCTTTACTAGACCTTCTAAATCGAATCCTGGAAGATTGATTGCCAATGTCAATCCTCTGGTAAGTGGAGACGTGGCCTCAGTTAGACTGTATGTATGGCTCTTTGGGCAAGGACCATCGTCTCCATAGATCTATATAGTATTTAGCACTGTGCGACCCCAATCCTTACTAGGACTGCTCCATACTACCATATTATAAATAACTCAAGTCTGCCCTGCTCCCACTAACTGATGTTTTGTCATTGACTTCACGGGGAGCATATCTCTAGATTCCCTTCAAAATGTAACTGTGTCTAAACCTTGTAAAACATGAGACCCTGGTGACCCATTGGAAGCTTTGGAAATTAAAACATTAGTGCTTGGTTGACTTCTATCATTCAGAGCACCTTTTGACCAGCTACACCAATAATCTGGTGGTGTACTTGGAATCTTTGTAATAGTTCAAACACGATTAGCTCTGTCTCCATTTGCAATCAAACATGGAAAAAAAAATCTCATTTGTCCACTAAAATAAATCTGTATGAGTCAATATAATTACTTACTTTAAAAAAAAGGGAGAAAAACAACTTACCGCGGGTCCAATTATAACAAGGTGGATATGGGGCTCTCTTCTGTGCCACTCTAAAACACAACAGTAATTTTTTAAAATATTAACAAATTATGCTTAATATTCTTACACCCCCATACAGGGCTTGTCTTCCTCTCTTGGAATCAATGAGACACTTATATGACTATGAAAGGTAGAATCTGGACATTAGTATTAGCAACAGTGTTTAAATATAGCACATAGATGAGATTTTCACCTCCAACATTCACACGTCATATTTGATTCGTTAACATTATTGAAGTTAGCATTAATTTTTCTTTCATTCATTCTGTTATGATTCAAGTGTTATTTTTGCGATTAAGCTCAGGTACTATTTTAGAATAATTTAAACAGCAAAACATTTTACAGAATGCTAGTGAATGGGGTTACTAAATCAAGATGGTTTGGATTCTTGTACTGCCTAAATGGACTTATTCTTACCACCAGCACCTGCATGTGGCCCCCAGGAAATGCAATGTTCTGTTGTTACTAGTGAATGGAAAGAAGAAATAACTGCAGTGGTGTTATAGTTATATAGTGTTTTGTAACTCTAGAATTTGCAAAAATGCCTTTCTTTAAAGATTTCATTGCCAAAGTAGGTATCCCAGAAAAGCTCTGCCTCATCCAAGGAACGCGTCCGCTTTTCGGAAAAAAATGTTGGAAAAGCGGATGTTTTGTGGGCATCCCTGTAAACCTTCTTTCATGAGGAAGAAGGGATGTTCCGAAATAGGTGGGTTTTTTTTAAATTTGGCCCCATGTAGACGGGCCAAATGTCGGAAAAGCTTCTTTCGGAAGAAAAGCAGAAAAGATACTCAAATTGCAGTTCTCTATTTGCATATCTTTTTCCAACTTTTCTTTGTAGTGTAGACACAACCAATACGACCTTCTCCCATCAGTCCCACTTTCTCTGCCACAAATGCAGTGGTACTACTGTATCCCTTCCACTTGCACAGAAACTCCACCTCACCCCTGAATTCCTTCATGCCCAGGGCTCGACAAATAATATAATATATTCACCTGTGGCAAGTAGATTACATCCCGGAAGAGCCGGCGCAGAGCGATCTGCGCATGTGCAGAATGATCTGCGCATACGCAGAACC